CAAATGTTTAGAAAGAAAAGGGTTTTTTTGGTTTTTGTTTTTCATTTTTATTCACATATGCAACTCAAAGGTGTTTGCATATCTCTTAGGTTGCAAAATGTCTGGTGACACTGATGGGAGCAGTTTATCCTGAGTGTTTAAGACGATTAGGGAACATCTGCGCTAGTAAGTAGGATTCCTACTGCAGCTGGTGAGAAAAATTTCTCATCATTGCCAAGATTCCAAATGGGTCATAAGTTAATCACTATGATTACATACAAACTTACATTCTGTGTCTTGCCACATCCTAAATATATGCATGTCTAGACAGATGTCTCTGGAAATCAAAATGCAGGAGGTTGGTTCATGCTGGGGGTCTCTCTCCTGCATAGAATCAGGCCATGCTCAGTGCTAATTTTCAGAGAAAAAACTTGAGAGTGCTCGTGGGCCTGATGTTTACACAAATTCAAAAATAGCATCATTCCAACTACTGCATGAATAAACTAGCAATTTTGTTGCATATGTACAGAGTGCAGTTTCAAAGGGCTTGATAAGTTACTTAAATAAAAATATCAAACTTTAAAAACATTTGTCACCATGAGTATCATTTTCTCAATCAGGTTCTTTACATGCTGCCTCCTGATGCCAACACTGTTTGAAAAGAGTGCAAAGTGCCTTGAAAAGAGAGTAATCTTCACTTCATTTGTCACCTATTGCAAAGTATTATTGATGAAAACAGAATCACAGAATCACAGCATAGCTGGAGTTGGAAGGCATCCATGCAGATCACCTGGTACAACCCTCCTGCTCAGCAAGGTCAGCTAGAGAAGGTTGTCCAGGACCATGTCCAGACAGCTTTTAATCTCTGCAGGGATGGAGACTCCACAACCTCTCTGGGCAATATGTCCCAGTGTTCAAACACCCTCACAGTGAAAGAATGTTTTCTTATGTTCAGATGGAATTTTGTAGGTTTCAATATGTGCCCATTGCCTTATCCTGTTACTTGGCACCACTGAGAAGAGTCTGGCTCTGCCTTCTTTACTCTCCCCGCCCTCCCCACCAATCAGATGTTTATGCAAATTGATCAGGTCCCCTTCGAGCCGTCTCCAGGCTGAATGGTCCCAGCTCTGTCAATCTCTTGTTGTATATTAGATGCTCCAAGACCTTAATCATCTTTCTGGCTCATAGGTGAACTTGCTCCGGTAGGTTCCTGTCTTTCCTGTACTGGAGAGCCCAGAACTGGACCTAGCACTCCAGATGTGGCCTCATCACTGCTGGGTAGAGGAGAAGGATCACCTCCCTTGAGCTGCTGGTAACATTCTACTTAATGCAGCCCAGGATGCTGTTGACCTTGTTTGCCGCAAGGGCACATTGGTGGCTCATTTTCAACTTATTGTCCACCAGGACCCTCAGATCCTTCTCTGCAAAACTGCTTTCCAGCCCGCTTGCCCCAGCTTATACTGGTGCCTGGGGTTATTCCTCCCCAGGTATAGACTTGTCATTTCCTTTTGTTGAACTTCATAATGTTCCTGTCAGCCCATTTCTGCAAACTGTCAAGGTCCTTCTGAATAGCAGTGCAATCATTTGGTCTGTCAGCTGATCTTCCCAGTTTTGTGTCATCTACAAACTTGCTGAGGGGGCATTTGGTCCCATCATTCAGGTAATTAATGAAGATATTGAACAGCACTGGCCCTAGTATCGGCCCCTGGGGGACACCACTAGTGACTGGCCTCCAGCTGGACTTCATGCACTGATCACAACCTCTGAGTTCAGCATTCAGCCATTTTTCAATTCACCTTACAGTCCATTTATCTAATCCATACTTCTTCAGCTTGTATATGAGCATGTTACTGGAGACAGTGTCTAAAGCTTTACTGAAGCCAACGTAGACAACATACATTTCTCTCCCCTCATCCACTAAGCTGATCGTCTCATCACGGAAGTCTCAATTTGAGTAAGCACAATTTTCCTTTTGTGAATCCGTGCAGACTACTCCCAAACACTTTCTTGTCTTTCTTGTGCTTGGAAATGATACCCAGGATTAGTTCTTAAGCCACCTTCCCTGGTGGGGAATGAAGTAAAGCTGACTGGCCTGTACTTTCCTGCAGCATCCTTTTTGCCCTTCTTAAAGATAGCAGTGACATTTGCTCTCTTCCAGTCCACAGGAACCTCCCCTGATCACCACAGACTTTCAAAGATAATTGAGAATAGCTTTGCAATGACATGGGCCCACTCCCTCAGCACTCATATATGCTTCCCAGCAGGGTCTATGGATTTGTGTGTGTCCTTTTGCATAAGTGTTCCCTAAGCTGATCCTCCTCCACCAAGGGTAAGTCTTCCTTGCTCCAGACTTTTCTTCTGGACTATTGAAGACAAGTTTTACCACTAAAGACCAAAGCAAAGAAGGTGTTGAGTAGCTCAGTCTTTTCCATGTCTTTTGTCACCAGCTTCTCTGCCCTGTGCAGCAGTGGACCCACATTTCCTCTAGTCCTTCTTTTGTTACTGATATACCTATAGAGGTCTTTCTTGTTGCCCTAACAGTTTCAACTCCATTGGGCTTTAGCTCTCCTAACACCATCTCTGTATGCTCAGTCAGTGCCTCTATATTCCTCCTGGGTCACTTGTACCTGCTTCCACCTCCTGTACATTTCCTTTTTAGATTTGAGCTTAGCTGGGAGCTACTTGTTCATCCATGCAGGCCTCAGTCTGCCTTTACTTGATTTCCTGCTCATCAGAATAGAGCATTCCTGAGCTTGGAGGAGGTGATCCTTGAATATCAACCAGCTCTCTTGGACCTCTCTTCCCTCTAGGGCCAAATCCCACAGGATTCTTCCAAGCAGGTCCCTGAAGGGGCCAAAATCTGCTCTCCTGAAGTCCAGGGTTGTGATTCTTCTTTTTGCTTTTTTCCCTCCTTGCCAGTTCCCAGACTCCACCATCTCATGGTCATTGCAGCCAAGGCTGTCCCTGACTTTCATATCTCTAACCAATTCTTTCTTGCTTGTAGGCCAGAGGTCCAGCAGAGTGCCTCTCCTTGTCAGCTCCTTGATCACATGTGGTAGGAAGTTATCATTGCACTCCAGAGACCCACTGGATTGCTTGTGCCCTGCTGTGTTGTCCCTCCAGCCAATATCATGGTAGCTAAAGCCAATATATTATTTTTGTTTAGAAATAAATAAATTTTAAAAAATCCTACACTTTCCTGAAGTAGAAGAAGATTGCAAGTCCTTGCAGCTTTCAGTCTGTCAGTATTTCATCATAATACATTCTACTAAAACATGTTCTCTAGAGTGGTGAAGTGTTTGGACATATCCTTCAGCAGAACAGATGGCAAAGAATCTTGAATGTTAATCAGCAGAATAAGTAGAATAAAGAAAGTCTTTTGCATTATACAATGAGATGCAGTTTTGGACCTATATATCTTGGTTGAGGGAAGTGTCCTAAGCTGTAAATAAGATTTCAACATACTGAGGCAGGTAAGGATGGCAGGATTTAGAACAATCAGTTTAATGAAAAAGGCCAAAGAAGGAAGATAAGAATAGACTTATAGCAGTTACCAGGCCTCATGATCTGAATACGAACTTTCCTTTACATTTATGAAGTACTGACGTAGATCAGGGGTTGTGTGTGATCTCCAAACAGCCAACTGCCGAGTGGTGATATGATCTCAATATTCATGAAAGGAATTGGGATCCATTATCTGGATAGAGAGATGCGAAGGTATAAGATTGCAATTCAAGGTGAGTAGATTCCAGATGATCTGTATAGTGCTCTACTATAGGTTATTATTGACAGAATAGCCTCCAATTCTAAGTGGACATTTTTCATTTTTGCTTTTTTTTTTTTCATGACAGCCTTCCAGGAAATTATAGTTGGTATTTACAGTTCCTACAGGCAAATGAAGAGAGACAACAAACTTTAGATACACTATTAATTTTACGTTGCCTTCTCACAACAGCCCCAACAATATTTTTCCAGCAAGTGTGGTGGTTAGATACACAGAAATAGAAAACACCTGCTATTTTTCAGATCAGAGCACTAAGGCTAACCTAGTTTTTCTTTAAATGGAACAGTTTGTGTTTTCATCTGAAATCAAATCATTCAAATCTTTTACACATGTTGGGCTGTTGTACTTTTCCCCCCACTGTCCTCCTTTTACCTCAAATCATATATTGTGATTCAGTTGTTTTTCCTCTAACAGAGAATCATTTTTATCAATAACACCAACCATTCAGCATTTTGTAGCCTCTTCAATCACATCACAAATTCGTAATAACAGCAGCTCCACACTGTCACAAAAATCAAAGAAATACTGCTATGCTTAATATCTTGACACTGAAATTTGAAAAAAAAAAGAAAAACAAAGCAAAACAAACAACTGACAACAAAAATCCTTATCATACAAGACAATCAAAATACATCCTGACGTTCAAATGAGAAAAAAAATGTTTGACAAAAAATATTGATGTTGCAAATATATTCGCTGTGGACAGGTATTAGACACAAAAGTATTAAGAATCCCCTGAATTTTGCCCTTAGGCATAATGTTATCTGTAACTCTTTAGAATCCCTCCTCTTTAAACCTTTACCAACAGAATACATAAAAACAGATCCTTAAAGCCTTCAAATTTACTATGACAGTTTCTTTTTCTATAAATGTTTTTCTCTGGAAATGCTTTATAATGTTACATTTCTGATCGCCAGTCTGCATAGGCAAGAAGTTAATTTAATTTATATTGTCAATAATATTCCTAGACCATACATAGGTGGTAAAGTCCCATTTTAATTCTGGTTTGTGTTTTAAAGCAGCTTTCATTTCAATATGCAAATAGAAAATAAATGCACTATTAAGAGGAACTCTACTTTTCTTTACAAATCCTAATATCCATCATTTCAATTATTTTTGGAGAGTTGTTGAGATCTAGGCCTAGATTCTCAATATTGATATCTAGTTTAGTTTAAATTAATTTAAGTTGTGTTGTTTTTCCAGAAAACAATATTTTTCTTCTTATTTTCTTCTCTCTTCTACCTGTTTTTTTCTGTCAAGTTTGGCGTGATACAGTACCCACTAAAGTTACAAGTGTTTTTCCAGCTTATTTATTGGATTTTGGTTCAGGAGCATTTTTCCTCCAACCTCTTCATTCTTTCTTTCCTGATCTCATTTTCTCAAGGTCGACATCTTTTTCTCCCCTTTAGCTGACAGTCCTCCTCTTTTCCAATATCCCTATGACCTTCATACTCCTTTCCTTCATCTACCTGATTTATTTACCTTCTATCTGACCTTCAAAATATTTCTCCACCACTGCTTCCTTCAGCTTCAAAGGTATTTGAAACCCTATCTGTGTTCTTCTGGGCATGCTGTACTTTTTTTCCCTTTCTTGTCTTTCTTCTTTGGTGTATCATTCAACTTGAAATACACAGGCGTAAAATTCTTCCATTTATATAGAGGAATGAGGTAAAGATTGTCTAGGATTTTTGTCTGGAGTGTCTTTAATTGGAGATTTAGTTTCTGGTTTCACTCCTGACTTGTGTGACACTAGGCAAGTCACTTCAGTATGTTGTGAGCACATGCACTCTGTATACTCTCAGGACAGAAGTGAGGCATATTTACTTTTTAGCATATTTACAGAGCGTAGGACTGGAAGAGATCCATGACCCTATGTCAAAGAATACAAATGATTGGTGCCCATTTTTCTTCACATTATCCGGAGTATTAGTGCCAAAGATCCACTTTCAGCTTCCAGAGATCCTCAACACAATCTTTATTTTTCCAGCCACACTAGACATAATGATAACCCTTGAAAAAAATTTACTTTAAGATTATTTACCACTTGTTATTTCTTCTATATGCCAGGGATTTAAATCCAACATAGCTTGAGAAACAAGAGTAGTTTTACTTCAGTTTTAAAACTCTTGAGACAAATAAATTAAATTAAATCTGTGTGTTATCTTTGGTTTTCTTCAGCATCCTCTTTGTAAGTGCAAGGAAGGAGAAGTTTTGAAAATCTGGAAATTTAATTCTGGAACTTTATGAAGTTCCAGCCTCCAACATATTGCTCCTATTTTGGGCAATTTACTTTTATAATAGCATTTCTATTTTAAAGTTTAAGACAATTATTTTTTTTCTTTCTCCAGTGTGTTGTTGTACTGACAAAGGCTTTTCTGTTTCCCCTCTTATTTCATCACATCATGTTGTATAATGTTTTCTTTTTACAACTGATTTTCATTTTCTTATCACAAATATAAGTTAATAGTTATTAGAGGATGGAGCAGAAGGAGGAGTAAAAAAGCAGAGAAAGCAGTCATCCAAAAGCCATCTTGTCATTAATTATGATTTTATAATTACATACTATCCATAGAAGTTGTTACAATCTTTTTTTTCTGTTTTGTTTTTTCTGAAAATCTGAACAAAGTTTGGAAATTTATCTGAGAGCAACTTCACCCCAGAGAAGACTATCTTCTTTGCTCTTCATAGAAGTTGACACAGTAGGTTTGATGTTTAATAAAGAGGTATTCTTAGCCACCTAGGAGGAAGAAGAAAAGAGAAGTCATCAGGACATACTCAACTTGTAGCTTATGAAACCTTGGGAAGGCAGACAGTATAGCAAAAGCTGTCCACGTATTTCTTAGTTGAAGATAAAGGAACTGCATTGTTGGGTATGTCCACATACACTCAACAGGTCAATGAATTAAAGAGGAATTAATACCATAGCATTGATTTCCTGGACACTGCTTTATGTTTACAATTTATATGTATTGCAACTATCCACTTTTGTAGCAGAAATTTGTTAGTAAAGTAATTCTGAATAAAAAAGCCTTTTTCATCATACAAATATGTTAACATGTCAAATCCAAGTAAATTCCTTAAGGCAGGAGTTCTTTTTCTGAAAGCTAAAGGAGATGAAAAAAAGTTGAATAATAATTTTGAGATGTAGGTCATAATTCTGTTCCACTGGTTGTAGTAGTAATAGGTTGTAAGTTATGTTTGCAAGTATATCAGTAGCTGTACCATAGTGAAGTAAACCTGCACAGTTCGTAGAGGGATTGCTTTATAAAACTCATTTTATATAATTTCATTGTTTCAATTCAAAGTTTTAATAAATCAAATATAAAGTTTTAATATAGAGTTTGAAAAACTCTGTAACTAAATTATCACTTCTTTCTCTTCTTTTCCTGTAGAAATGAAGAAAAAAAAAAAGAGTGTAAGGTCTTTACCAAAGAACTTGGCAAAGTTGGGCAAAAAGCTCTGTGATACAGTTCAACATTACTCTTTCCATATATTAACACTAGGTTATTTTCACCATAGGATCCCAATAGTGATTGCTCAATCTGCATGGCTCCTTCTCTTCCGAATGAGAAAGGAATGATTGCACATTATTCTGTCTCCTCTTCCTCTTGAAGAAGAGAAAGACCAGACTGGTTGGATGGTTATGGATTGCATGAATAAAGAATAGCCTTTATCCTCTTCTCCAGTAGAGCTTCTACATATTAGGTAACACAATCCAAGTTTCATATTTATCCTTCATGAGTGTCCTGTATAAATCTTAAGTCCACTTGGAAGCAGAGAATCAGGAATTCTGAAAAGAATTAGTACAATTGCGCAAAAGCATTTGATACAGAGTCACGGTTTCCCACTGATACCGTCACATATCTAATGAGTTTGGAGTGAATGGTGAGAAGGAAAGGGGATGTGAGAGGTGACACTGTTCTGTGAGGATGTGATATTGTGGGTGCTTACAACAGGGAAGGAGTTTCTCTGCCAGAGCCTGGGCAGCACACTGAACTTCATGTTGTTATGGGGAGCTAATTAGATTTAGGAACCAAATGAAACTGATCATTCATAAATATTTAGCATGGAAATATCACTCAGAACCACAAGTAGTACAGATGAGGTAAGAAAACATGAAGTGAAAGACTGGAGCAATTAAAATCTGTTTGGAACTGGTAATTTTTTTCTAAACATGGAAGATAACTGGAATACATCAAGACAGCTCTTTACAGTATATCTGCAAGCAATGCACATTGTTAAGACGAAGATAATCAGAAGGCAAGTCTATGACAGTTGCAGATTCCATAGCACTTTGTGTGAATTTCTTTTCACTTAATTCAGTTAAAGACTGAATGTGAAACTGTATTTGATAAAATAGTGTAGCACACAGCAGCTAACTGCAAGAACTGAGAGATATACTTTTAATCACAGACCCTTAAAAAGAGCAATTAAGTCTGTAGGCACATGATGATTGTATTTCTAGTTCTGCATGGAATCTAAGGGAGTATTCTCTATTAGTATTAATACTTTCTTTAAGGATGACAATTCTGCGGTTATTACAGAAAGGACACATGAAGGTCATTTATACAACTAAAAAGAAGAAGAGAGCTGGAAATACTTTAAACTAGTTTCACATATGAATAAACATTGAGAAAGCTGTTAAGATGTTGCTTATATCAAAAGTACAAGACAAATCAAATGGATGATTCTGAATCACTGGTACAGAAATTTAGGCTCCCAGAAGTATGAGTGAAGTGTTTACGGCAATTTGCACAGACAGGTTCTAGCTTTTTATTTTTATTTCTCCTGAGATAGCCTTCTTGAAAGTATTATGTAGCTTGCTGGATGATTGTCATTATTAGCTATGTTTTGCTAGACACAATATACCTAAAATAATAATTAACCCCTGACAATGGACCTTAGGATGAGTTTGAATAGTTACCAGGGAAGTAGTGGTTCTGACACGTAATGCCCTTTCCCAGTCCAACACTTTTAATTAAATATAAAGTACTACTGGGAAAGTGCACAGAGGAATGTTGTGCGAAAACACAGAATGATTCTGATTAAGCCTGGTTATCATTTGCGGACGTTTTGTTCAGCAGAAAAGTGAACAGAAGAGGTCTGCAAAAGATTTTTTATGTAGCAAAAATGACTGGTAATGCCAGTCATTGGAAACCTGCAAATGTAGTGAAAAGGTAGATAACTCAAAACAATAGCAATAAAATAGGGATCTGGCAGTTGTGGATCCTTCCAATGAAAAAGGTGTATATCTCTGAAGGAAAAAATGATCATATGTATCTGTTTGTTATGAACAGTAGTCTTATAGTTATTTGAGGTCATGTGCCACAGAAGATAACAGAATACTAGATGGAAGAGAGTCAAGAGTAACTGATTCTGCTATTTTTTCTTCCCACAAGCATATCAGGACAACAAAGTTATAACACGTGGTACAATCAGAAAATGTAGAATCATTTCCACACAACAGTAGTAGAGGCAACGTTCTAGGTCAGCCTCAAAAGTATTCAAACAGCAGTCAGAGAAATTCAAATAGTAAAGTCATGCTTCATGACTGTAGTTATGCATTGCTTCTAAGTATTTGTAACCTCACTCTTCTTTTCATGTGTCGTTTGGAAGCACACACAGAATAAAGCAAAGGTCCCGTAAACATCTTAAATAATAAACAAGTGCTAATGGTGGACCAGCTGAGGGTATTAGGGAAGCAAATCCACACGGTTGTCTCCTTGTAAAGATTTCTTCTTCTCGGTTGTTTTTGCTTACTTTTACAGTAGTAGGATCCAAATCCATTTGATTTATAGTGAAAACTGGCAGTCAAAGTACCCTCAGGACTAAAATGTGCTAAGCAAATTAATGATTCATTTTGGGACCCCAATTATCGATGCAGTAAATGGGAGACACTTCATAAAGGTAATGTTTTTTGAATACAAACAATAAAAAAGACTTGAAACCTAATAGTCAGCACTTGTTTCTTCATATTGTTTACTAATAAAACTTTAAAAGGCACATAGGAAAATGTAAATGAGCAGGTGAATTTAAACTTTCCCACTTCATTTTAATCAGATGTTAAAGGAAAATCTACCTTCCCTATAGAACAATTACAGATGTTTTTCACATGCTTTTATTTCCTTCCACTATGTAGGTTAACACTTATCAGCTCCACTAATTACAGAAAATATATTGAGTCTCAGAGGAAAATTTGCTGTGTATTTCAGTAGCAATGAGCTGTTTTCTGAGGGAGAAACTAATCTTAACAAAATAGTTTTTGATATTTTGGGGAGTGAGGGGGGCAGGAGAGGGGGGAAGGCAGAAAAGCCCTGGAGATTGACAATGCAATATTACAATGCCAATCTTTCGTTTTTCTTTCATAGCACTATTGCTGGCCCCCTCCAGCAACAGGGGAACTGGCTGCAATATCATTGTTGCCTGCAATGCTTCAGTAATGAAAATACGATATTTATTGAAATGATAAAGAGAGAGTGAGAAAGAGATCTAGATCAATATACAGTTAAGGCTTAGAATGTTCAGTGAAGAGTGAAAGAAATTTTTAGACTATCTTCGTGTTTATAAATTCCTGAATCAGATCCATATATGTAGGTATAATGTCAATACCATTAAAGAAAACTAGGGTCCCAGTCATGGAAAATATGATGAACATAGACGTGATAAATAGTAAGTGGAATTACTCACAGTAGTAAATTTCAGCATGCATATAGGGCTTTTCTGGACAGAAGGCTAAAATATTTTGTTATTGGTATGTCCCTAGCTTAGTTTCTTTCTCATCCTGATTTCTCTCTCTCTTTCTCTCTCCCTCATATACACCCAGATGCAAGACTTGAAAAAAGAAGGACAGGCTGCTGCATTTTTTATCAGCACATAGATATTTGCAGTGTTGCAAGAACTGACACAGTCGCTGAATTCCAAGTCTTAATAACTATGCCAAAGGGGTAGAGTTTTCAACTACAAATACAGTCAGTAGCAAAGACTCTAAAACTATTTTCGTTACTTCTGTGCATTGAGTAAAATAAATATGTTAAAGATGTGATAAGAGAGCTGTTTGTAGAAGAATGGAATAGATTTTAATTGATTCTCAGTATTAAGGATAGCATATTGCAATCTGTACAATAGCAAGGTATAATAATTATTAAACTCCCACGAAGAAAATTGGAGTACTATACATACAAAGTTCCAGTGGAATCAGGGCCCAGTGTGTGACCATTATGTACCCGTATGGCAAGATTCTGTCACTGCTGAAGGACTTAACACCCCACAGAGAGGAAGAGGCCAAGAGCCACCATGAGCACGTATATAGGTCTCCTAAGTCCTGTCATTGGATATACACTGCCTTTCACAGTAATTGAATTAGACTAAAATGAAGATCACATCTTTCGTCTTTATATGTACAATATGCACGACCAGTGAGAGACAATCCTAATAAGTAATATCACTCAACATGCGTAATGGGAAGATCTAACTATATTTGTACACAGAGTGGTCAACAACTTGATCTTAGGCGGTGTGCTGAAAGTTTCTTCTTTCTAAAATTATCTTATGCTGACAAGATATAGCCAATTTAATTTTATAGTGACTACACTTTAGCTAGTAGAAATATTTAAAATAAAAATCATAACACCCTTTACCCTTTATCTTAACAGCTAAAATTTTCAGTTTGGCAGTTTCCTCATTGCACTCACAACCAAGCCTGACTGCCTGTTACATGGTCACAGTTAAGGTCTCAAA